ACAGCTCTCGGTGGCTGCTCGGCGGAACCCCCAGTTCCGCCGCACCCGCGGCGCCCTCTTGCAGCTCCGCCGACCCCTCATGGCCTTGCCCTCCCGACTCGGCCTGCAGTAGCGATGGCAGCATGCCCATCATCTCCTGCACCNGCTGGCTGCTGGAACACCGCTGCCTCTCGCTTGGCATAGCCCGCACCGTCTTGCGGATCCTCCCGGGAGGACGAACGCTAGCGTGTTCGTGAGCCCTAGCCCTGTTAAGGGCCGGCGGACTTGGGGCTGCTGTTTAACTGTGTGTANCTGTTTAACTGTGTGTATTAGCTCGCATGAGAGAGGAGAGAGGGAGAAGGATGAGAGGCCCAAATTCTCGAGAGAACACGGGGACTCCGCACTATCATCCAAAGCCTCTCAGCACATACCCTTCAAGTTGTCCCAGCTGCGTCCTACGTAACGGCTAGTATCTACTTCTACGCACGAACAGCGTCCTCGAGAGGACGGAGCATTGTTCCCACAGGACCGATCACCGATGGCCAATCGGTCCTTTCTACTTTGCCAAAGGTGGCTCAAAAATGCCTTCCCTAGTCTGTCTATCCTAACGATATCCCTTCCCGCCTTTTCAACCCACCTCCTATGCCCCACTACAGCTACCGTCCTTTCCTCTCTATTCCATGCCTCAAACATCTCCCTGTACGTCCCATCACCAAGCGGGGGTGTTTGGGGTGCTCAGCAGAGTATACTGTCTACGGGGCCTCCGGGCGGTACGCGGATGGAATGTATTGACGGACATGCTGCATGGCGATGGTGTGGCCTACCGCATGTCTCTTACTCTCTAAGCAACAAGGTCTTGAGTCAACCTTCTTTCTCTTTCGGCCTCTGACGAGCTACCGCACCCAAACACAATATATTGTAAGGCCTGGTGTTGGTAGTGGGTATTGGCGTCTGAGCGGTGGGAGCTGGGCCATCGGGGCAGCGGACACCATTTTCATAGCTGGGATCGCGGCCAAAGGGGGCGAGGACAGCAGTGCATAGCTGGTGCGGTGGCCATTGCGGGGACCGGGACAGCAGGGTTTATAACTGGGACAGCACTTCGAGGCTGGGACAGCAGGGAGGGTTTAGAGTTTTAGTTTGATATGTCTGGAACGGAGGAGGTAGCAACTCTGAGCGCGAGGTTGGATGAGGCGCTACGAGCTATAGAGGAGGNGCTTTATAGCTGGGACAGCACTTCAAGGCTGGGACAGCAGGGAGGGTGTAGAGTTTTAGTTTGATATGTCTGGAACGGAGGAGGTAGCAACTCTGAGCGCGAGGTTGGATGAGGCGCTACGAGCTATAGAGGAGGCCAAGGCTGAGACGAAGGAGGCCAAAGCTGAGACGGAGGAGCTTAGGGCAGCACAGCGGCGGTCTTCGGGTGCACCTGCCGGCAGCAGCTCAGGAGGCGACGGTCTAGTTGCTCCTGGAGGGGCTTCATCTGCACCGGTGAGGCCAATGTGGCCAGGCGGGGTGAGCCATGATGGCGGTACTGGGGTGCCGGGTTCGCCGCTGGGAGGTGCAATTGTCAGAACTCCTGTGCCTAGAATACCGCCTAATTGCACCGCCGACACTTTTCTCAGTTGGCGGAGACGCTTTCTGGCCTACGTGGACAACCACAATCTCCAGCACACAATCTTCGGCAGTGCTGAGGTTCCCGTTGTCAGTTGTCAGGATGAAGGATACTTGACACGCCAGTATGGTGCACAGCTGGTTGTTGAGCACAAGAGGACATGGAGTTTTATCTTGGAGGCAGCGGTGGGGGCCCCATTTGAGAACAACCTGTACTCTTGCCATTCCGTGGCAGAGGCGTGGAGGATGATGGAGGATTGGTTTTTGCCGAACCACCCAGCTGGTTGTCAGCTCCTCGTCGCCGAGCTAGATAATATATCCATGAGTGATGATGAGGACCCCAAGCTTTTCTTCTCGCGCGTCGCACAACTGGAGACCAAGTTACGGGCTGTGGGCATTGCTAAGGTGACCAGGAAGTTGTGCAGATCCTTGTGCGCCAACTCCCCGCACGCTACGATGTCGAGAAGCGCACTAGTCTTTCCAAGCGTGATTTAACCCGTGCTGAGTTGCAGGACGTCGTGCGTAGTCGATATGCCACGCTCAAGGCCAGCGAGATGAGGGAGCGAGGGTCGGCAGCTT